AGGAGTTTCTGGAGGTCTCTGCATCAAGAACAATGCTATCCACAAAATGGGAAGAAATCCATGTGGAGGAAATGCTTTTTTTTTTTTTTTTTATTGACTTCCACCAGTCTAACTTAAGTTTTTAAGCATCTTATGAAGGAGGGCTTTGTTGTAAGAAACGTTCCTTTGTACATTACAGATTAAATTAGGTCAGCTGACCCGAAATGTGGGGAAAGTATATTAGATATCTGAAAACTGTTTGATATGGTGTATCTATAACTGGGCTGAAATATGAGTTGCTGCCTTTGCTTTCAATCTCCGCTTGGCTCTGCTCTAAATCATTCATCAATTGTTTTCTTTGTGTGTGTTTTGTGTGGAGGTGTGTGTGGGGAAATCAAACTTGAAGGCAGAAATGATCCACAGGGGAGGAAAAGAACAAAGGGGTTCGTTGCATATTTTACAAAGTTTGTGAAAGTTTCAGATGCCTGGGGTCATTTTTGATCTTACTTCATTTAAAAAGGGGTTTAAGAATATTTACTAGAGATCTTTTGGGTTTTGTGATTGTTTATAACTATAAGCATTCCTTTATGATCACTTCATTATTGGTTATGAATTCTTCAAAATAATATAGCTTGTTACATTATTTAGGCTCGTATCTGAGGGTTCTTCCCCTATTGCCCCCTACCCTACTGATAGGGGAGATGCTGTGTTTTTTCAAATAAAATAAACTTGTTCCAAGAACCACATGATTTCTTTGTCAAGATCTTTTAAAAATAAGGAAAATCTATGTTATATCTGCTCAAGAAAGTCATGAATGATCTATTAAAAGAAAATCTATGATCTAATTTTCCTAAGTAATTGTCACTTAAATTATAACTTGACCTTTAAAACTAGTAATTTTATTTTTAAAAGTTATAATTTTCATAATCGATATACTCCAAAAAGATCCCATACACTTTTCTTCAATTTTTCGGTGACGATCCGAAACATATGATTACATGTATAACATTTTGTAAACTCAAACTGCAACCGTTAAATATCAATTGGCAAAGGAAGATCTATTAAGAAAAATAAATAAGTGGAAACCATAGTCTAATCTGTACAAATACACGATGAATGATCTATCATTTAAGAAAATTAGACCAAAAAGAGTATTCGAGGGATCCAAAACGCCAAGTGTAACCAATGCATTAAAGATATGGTTAAATTAACAGCAATGGCATCCGCATACCAGCTACAACAGCCACTGCTTTCATTTGACTATATATCTCAAGGCCACAACCACAATGTCTAATTCCTCAAAGTCATAAAAAAATGGTGCTTTCAACCGAAAAATGTACCACAGAACCACATAAATCATCAAAATGATCCATCCAAAAAAACTGTACCCTACTGGACTATAAGCAGATTTGGCTGAAACACAAGCAAATCCAGTGTAGCTTATTAACAATGGATGAGGCTGCTCTAGATTTATCACTCAAACCCAAGATATGGAGTTTTTAGAAAGCCTCACAAGCTTGTCTCCTAGGCTGTTGGTAACTTAGGTTACCTTCAAAGCTCAATTCTTTTTGTAAAAGGAATCTGAAGAAGGAACTGGAAAGAAAGGATATGAAATCCCTTTTTCATTTTCTGGTATCAAATAAATTTCTAACTAATAATTTGGCTACCAACAATGTTTTTTTCCTAATATTCTCCAAAAGTAGAGGAGATTTATAAAGAGAAGGGTTTTCATACAACTAAAAGGTACATAAGTCTGTCCAAAGTCCTACCATTTTCAGCTAAGGAATATATTTCGTCCCCAACACATCTTTGCATTTTCAGATTCCATTTTCAAATTCCAATACAACAAACCTTATCCTCCTAAAACCCTGGATAAACTAGTTGATTCCACGGAAAACCCACTTAAAATCCACCATAGAATGCCTAACACCCACACAGCAGCATAAGACCAAACAGATTTCTAATTTCCGGACATTTAATTTGGTTAAGAACAAATGTCAAACACACCATAAGCATTCAAGAAAAGAGGAATCTTCCAAGCACATAAAGGTACCAAACAACAATGGAATTGAAAATATCACTTGTACACATTTTTGAATCTTACGTAGAAAACATAGAAATAGAAGGATTGATAGACAAATATCAAACACCTCATAGGCATTCAGAGAAGATGAATTTTCACAGACAATCATGGTATAGATTCAAACTCACACAGTTACCAAACAACGAAGAATTCGAAAATACCATTTCTTCGCAATTTAATTCTTACGTAGAAAACCTAGAAATAGAGGGATTGATAGTGGCAGCGGAGATAGAGTTAGTTGATGTCGGAGTCGTCGAAATCGTCTTCGAATGAGTTAAAGAAGTCGGCGTTGGCAAGCCTGTGATGGTCGGCGGCCACCGATGGACCCTCTCCTCCGAATATTTCGAGGGCTTCGACGTCGTCGACGTCCATAGCCATCGTCGATCCCGGCTCTTCCAAATCCGCAAAGTAGTCCACCGTCATCGCCTTCATCTCTTTCTCTGTAGAAATCTCGACTGCCTTCTTTTCTATAACTCTCTCTCTCTCTCTCTAAAAATCTCATTCTATATATAGATGCTGAATCTCAAACGTCGTCGTCTTAATGTTTATACTATTCTAAAGGTAATTTTCACCTAAAAACACAATGTAATATGAATAATTTCGAGAGAAATATTTGTAACCGTTAAATGAATATATTTGAAACTTTTATTAAAATTTGTCTTATTTTATTTTTTAGACTAAAAATAATTCATGTGTAAAAATACAGTGTAATGTGAATAGTTATAATAGAGATATTGATGGTCGTTCAATTAATCTATTTGAGATTATTGGATGAGCTTATTAAAAGATGTCTTGTATTATATTATAGATTTTGCTTCAAAAAAAAAAAGGACGAAAAGTACAAAAAAAAGGACGAAAAACAAGTTTCTTTCATATATAAATTGAGAAAAGACAAAAAAAAAAGAATAAATAGAAATTTAAAATTTTACACTTATTTTCCTTCTTTTTTTTTCTCTTTAATATATTTATTCATTTTCTCCTTGCCAAACAATAAGAAAGATATTTCCTTTTCTTTTATTTTTCATCTCATTCCCTTTTATGTTTTTTTTCCTGTCTCACCCAAACTAAACACCTTGCTAGTGAGTTTTTTTTTTTTTTTTTTTAGTTAAAAAAGAGGTGCAAGTAAAAGGGAGTCTTTAGGGACCACCTGAACAGGTCCCGGTGAAATCGTGAGGTCCCTAATTATATCGATTATTTTTTTTGAGAACGAACTTAGTTAGGTAACATAACAGTCAATTATCAAGTTTCAATGTAAATTCTAAAAGTCAAACCTCTAATTTTAGGGTGAAAAATTTGATCGATACCCTACCAGACAACCTCACTCGGTAGTTAGTATTATGAGGTTTTTTTTTAGTTTAATGATAATTAATGTCCAGATTTTATGCACGTTAATTAAACCTCTCCCCAATTTGGTTTAAAAAAAAAATCATCCATCATCAACAATTATAGTTAATTAGGTTCCAAATTAAATATAAATAACATTTAAATAAAAATAAAAAATCTCAAGATTGGTGTACTATATTGTCTGCTCTCTAGCTAGGGGAGAGGATAATCCCATAATGTTGGAACTTGGCAAAGGCAAATGAGGGCTGCAACCAGTCTTCTTCTCCATACCTACCCATGTTCTCTTCCTCTTCTTATTCTCTCCCCTCGACAATTTCACCAATACCCATCACCCCAAAACCCCCATACATTATCTTCCTCTCATCTTCTTCGCCAAATTCAAGTTTGCAGGTACCGCCGATGGGACTCNATAGCCATCGTCGATCCCGGCTCTTCCAAATCCGCAAAGTAGTCCACCGTCATCGCCTTCATCTCTTTCTCTGTAGAAATCTCGCCTGCCTTCTTTTCTATAACTCTCTCTCTCTCTAAAAATCTCATTCTATATATAGATGCTGAATCTCAAACGTCGTCGTCTTAATGTTTATAGTATTCTAAAGGTAATTTACACTTAAAAACACAATGTAATATGAATAATTTCGAGAGAAATATTTGTAACCGTTAAATAAATATATTTGAAATTTTTATTGAAATTTGTCTTATTTTATTTTTTAGACTAAAAATAACTCATGTGTAAAAGTACAGTGTAATGTGAATAATTGTAATAGAAATATTGATGGTCGTTCAATTAATCTATTTGAGATTATTGGATGAGCTTATTAAAAGATGTCTTGTATTATATTATAGATTTTGCTTGAGAAAAAAAAAAGGACGAAAAGTACAAAAAAAAGGACGAAAAACAAGTTTCTTTCGTATATAAATTGAGAAAAGACAAAAAAAAAAAAAAGAATAAATAGAAATTTAAAATTTTACACTTATTTTCCTTCTTTTTTTTTTCTCTTTAATATATTTATTCATTTTCTCCTTGCCAAACAATAAGAAAGATATTTCCTTTTCTTTTATTTTCCATCTCATTCCCTTTTATGTTTTTTTTCCTGTCTCACCCAAACTAAACACCTTGCTAGTGAGTTTTTTTTTTTTTTCTAGTTAAAAAAGAGGTGCAAGTAAAAGGGAGTCTTTAGGAACCACCTCAACAGGTCCCGGTGAAATCGTGAGGTCCCTAATTATATCGATTATTTTTCTTGAGAACGAACTTAGTTAGGTAACATAACAATCAATTATTAAGTTTCAATATAAATTCTAAAAGTCAAACCTCCAATTTTAGGGTGAAAAATTTGATCGATACCCTACCAGACAACCTCACTCGGTAGTTAGTATTATGAGTTTTTTTTTTAGTTTAATGATAATTAATGTCCAGATTTTATGCACGTTAATTAAACCTCTCCCCAATTTGGTTTAAAAAAAAAATCATCCATCATCAACAATTATAGTTAATTAGGTTCCAAATTAAATATAAATAACATTTAAATAAAAATAAAAAATCTCAAGATTGGTGTACTATATTGTCTGCTCTCTAGCTAGGGGAGAGGATAATCCCATAATGTTGGAACTTGGCAAAGGCAAATGAGGGCTGCAACCAGTCTTCTTCTCCATACCTACCCATGTTCTCTTCCTCTTCTTATTCTCTCCCCTCGACAATTTCACCAATACCCATCACCCCAAAACCCCCATACATTATCTTCCTCTCATCTTCTTCGCCAAATTCAAGTTTGCAGGTACCGCCGATGGGACTCCAACGCCGAGTCCTTCCGGAACCAAAACTTCAATTTTAATTTCGACTCCAATTCTGGGAACGACGGCAGTGACGATGATGATGATGATACGCCGTTCGGTTTGGAGCAATTGGGTGGGGTTGTAGAGGAATTCATTGACGGTGTTTGGATTTTTAAGGTAACTAATTTTTGTTCATTTTATCAGTTCAGTTCTTTCTTTTGTTTAGTTTTTAAGTTTGAATTTTGTGTTCTGGGTTGATATTTTTTTGGAACTTTTATGCATTTTTCAACCTTTTAGTATCTCAATTTAGTAAAAAGTAGCTGATTTTAGTTTCTTGATTGACTTGCTAAGAAGTTCTTATGTTGTGACTTGCGAGAGATGCTTCATTTATTCTTTATCTTTAGTTTATTTATGCAGCTATATTTTCTATATCAATGTAATTAAGCCTTTGGTTATGTGATGCCTCAATTAGTATATATTTGTAAGTGTTTTACTTAGCATGAATTTGAAATTGCTAAGAAGGTTGCAAAACAAATTGGGCTTTTTTCGCGTTATAATTTTTAAATGGATTAAACTGTTAACATTTACACTCTGATTTGTGCTTCTGTGACTCCAAGTAATGATCTTGAAGATTCTTACTTGCCTTTGCATTTGATGATTAGCCTGAAGAATTTCTTAGTGTCATTCTAGGTATGCTAAGTTGGTACGCTGTTTTGGGTCGTGGTTCGTTTTCTACTGGATCGTTTTCTCTATTTTATGAGATTATATATAATTATACATTCATATCCAAATAGTTAACTAATATTTATTTAAGGGTTTGAGATACAATTTGGAGTCGGCAGTTCTACCATCCTGGTATCTAATCTAACCTCCATACGTGGTCACCTGTTAATAAAAACACATGAATTTGTTTGTGCTGATTATTCATTGAATTTAGATGATGACACACTGACAAGATTATAATTTCTGAGAGATGATATCTGATTCTGAGAATTAATTCACCGATTATGTTAAGGTCCTGAAGGACCATTTCAATAGCATCTGGTAAGTACATTGTATTTTTTTTTTTTTGAGAGAAACCAATTGCTTTATTTGCTCTCAAAAGCCAGATGATTTACTTCCAAAGTGAAAATCAAATGGTAGACTAGTGCTACCCAAATACTTCTTGATTTTCTTAAATTTTTTGGCAGTTGGCAAAACAATGCACAAGAGTTTGATAGCATATAATCTCCTACCTAAAACAATACCATTAGGGAGAGAGTCACATGATACTCAATGATTTGTAGACTTCTCTTGTTAACTTACACCTTAACATGGGATTCAAACAACTGTACTTATATCATTAATAACCTTATTGTCTTTGTTTGGCATTTCTGCTAACCCTGAGTTGACCTGGGCTGCCAATGTGCTACTGATATAGTTTTATTCATAACTAATTAACAGCTAATTTGATAATGTTTATATTGTTGGGTATATTGTTGACAAAGCTATAGTGATAGACTGAGTCTGAGGCATTTGCCCAATTTTCTCTTGCTGTTTATATATGTAAATGCTGTTGGTCACCTTAGTGTAAAGCTGGTCTCTAGAAGATCTAGCATGCTATATGTCCTTAAGTACTGTTCTTTAGTACCCTTACTAAGAGATGGTCTGGTCTTTGTAATTGGGGTTTTTTGGTTCCTTAGCATACACCAATACCAGAATTAAAAAGGGAACTAGACAGTCAACAACTTAAATTTTAGTGCGGAAGGGGCATAGCTGATAATTGGAAATGTTCACTTGCCCCTGCATTATTACAAAAATGTATGTACTATAGGGCATTTTCACCTAGCCAAGTGCTTTTTATGTTTCTCAGTATGAAAAGGGACAAGTAATCCTTTGTATTAGAAGGTTCTTTCGTTCTCGAGTGCACTAATCCAATATGCGATAGCTTACTACATATCTGCACAGGATAGTGCAACATATTGGTGCTCAAGAGTCAATACTAGTGTAAGAGGTGCGACGTGAAAGAGGTTTTTTTTACTGCATTCTTACCTAATAAATTATTTGGACACCCCAGAATCAACAAGAATTGAACTAGAACATATCTGTTGAAGTGATATGAGCCATTACCCAGTGTTGGTCCTGTTGGTGGATTAGACACTGATGTATCCTTGGTATCATTTGCACTTACTTGAACTTGAGCATGCATTCTTACACTCGGAAGTAAAAACTTTTACATTTTCACCAGGCAGTGGCCACCTTATTAAGTCATATATAGGTACCATCCACAAATGTTATGAGACATTATTCTTATTCAAAATAACTTGGTGCCTGGTTTATGTTTAAGAAGGTTAATAAGCAAGGTCCTAATATAATTTCTTGATATATATCTCTGTGGCCAGTGCAGGCATTCAGATCTTTTGGATGGTTCCTTCCAGCAACAGTCATATCCCTCCTGGTATCAACAGGTCCCAAAGCTTTTCTTATGGCCCTCGCACTCCCACTTGGGCAGTCAGCACTTTCTTTAGCATTTCAGAAGCTCTGGGGAAATAAACAAAACAACCCAAAACGCAAGGCAAAGTCTAAGAAGAAACCACGTGCCCGCCCTAGAAGAAAAGTTGAACTGGAGGAGGATGAAGAAGAAGAAGAAGAAGAGAACCAAGGGATCGGAAAGGGAAAGATGGGATATCAATCATGGGTAGGTGGTAATGAAGCCCCAGCTGCTAAGGACAGCCAAGATGCTTCTAGTTTAGGTGGATGGGATGTGCTGGATAGTATGGAGTCTGTGAAAAGGTCGGCTCGAACAGAAAGGGGCCCACGAAGGACACCTATTAAGAAGGGCAAGTTGAGTAGGGGAGGCAGAAAAGGTGAGATGCCCTTATTTTTGAGGCTGCTGATTGCAGTTTTCCCATTTTTGGGTTCATGGACAAAGATGCTGTAGTTATTCCTAGAAAGCTGGAAAAAGAAGAACCCTGGCTTGGTTTCCTTTTGCTTTCAGTTGCTGCTCTGGGTTGATTCACCAACCTTGAACTACTTACACATGATTACAACAGTCGAAGGACTAAGATTCATACTCTTTTCAGCAAGTTTGAGCTTGGAGCATGAATTGGCTTGGTCTTGCTTGCAAATGCTTGGGTCAAGTCCCCACAGTGGTACAATCATTCAGTGATAATACGCTGAACAATGCCACGGTGTTACACTGATTACTGCTTCCATAACCACATCATACCTCATTCTTGGCTGATAAAGCCTTTCAGAAAAATTTTTATTTTTTAATTTTAATAGATACAGTAGTATAGTAGTTTTCAGAACGAACGAACCGAAAAACGAACTGCTGTTTGGATATTGCTTGGAATGGCAGAAGTGCTCTGGTATGCCTTCTTGTCTTCTGATTCAGTTCTGTGTTGGTCGATATAGACGATCTTTTTTCTTCCATACTAACGTGTTGGGACAAAACTTTGCTAAGTTAAGTATTCTAGTGTGTTTTGCTTGCACAGGCATTTACATGTCATACCCTTTTTCCCTTTTACCCTGTTTTCTTAGGTCATTTAGTAGAGAATGAGGCTCAATGAGTATATCCACTGTGAGGGCATGGTTCCTTGCTACTATGACAATTCCTTGGCTTTGATTTCCACAATAATAAGAGGATGACAACTACTTGGTACAAATTCATTATTCCCTCACTGTGCAGGTTTTCTTTGTAGTACTAATAAGATGAAGATGGGGTACCTAGACTCAATGCGATGTTGATACCTGAACAAATGCTTGTGATTGTAGAAGTGTAAAGGACAACCAAGTATATGAGACTCCCGTTGAGATTTAAAAAAGATTAATGTACATCATCTTACCGACATGCGAAGAGATTATTTAGGCAATGCTAATTTGTGATGTATAAGTCACAATCAAACAATTTTATCATTGCTCGAGGATCACTTTAGGGGCAAAAAACTACTTATAGTTGTTTCTATATAGGAATTTAATTTAAAAATTAAAAAACTTATGCCAACACACAAATGTAAAGAAAATAACGCATAATTTGCACAAATGCGTTATTTGGAAAAAAGAAAACATAAAAACCATTTATTTCGAACTCCTAAAAAACCTTTGCATGGAAGATTGGCTCATTGCCGTAGTCTTAGATATTATTATAAACTTATATTTGAAACTTGCCCCCAAAAATTAATATAAGGGAATGGTATCCAAAAATTTATATATATATATATATATATATATCTATTCTTATTTTAAACCGATGTAAAATCGTAACATTCTACTATACTTCCACAACTGGCGTTCACGACAGCCCATTCTATTAATACTAATCTAACAATAACCATTTTTCTTTGGCAGCTTCATTCACCTATCAGTATTCAATAAAATAGTACTACGCCCATACATAATACCAAGTCATTTTAATTCAGTGACCTAACCACATAGAGCCATAACTCATAATGCGTTTGATCCCATACTCGACATGGTGATTAACTCTGATATCAATTGTTATGAATTCATGAGTATAACTTTCCCTTGAAAACCGGCTTACAAGGAAAGAGTGTCTAACAATTTATATACACAAATCTAATTTTATTTTTAACCGATGTGAAATTGTAACATATATGGTGAGAATACTTGCAACTAGATGTAATTCACATTGAAATTTTCTTTTAATCAACAACCATAAACATATAGTGGAAGATATTAATTTTTCTCCTTTTCTATTTGCACACCTATTGGGTGCTTGCCCGTGCTTGTTTACTCGCTCCAGTGAAAGAATGATGATCCCTAAAAAGAAAGTAAATTTACATATTGTAAAGAACTCTCATCTAGAAAACAGCTCAATTCTGTTGAGATAGCAAGCGGATGCACTGTTCTGGATGCAGCCGCAAAAACTCTCGTCATCCTTAGGAAACGATGCAGGTAGAGGATGGTCAGGGATTACGCCAACCTAGATAAGAGCAAAGACCAGGTGATGCCATCGCACACTGTCATACAGAGAGAGAGAGAGAGGTAAAAGAGAGAGAGAGAGACCTTGTCAATATCAGTGTGAGCAGGTGTCTCATAACGAGCAACTGTAACAGCCAAGCCAGAGCCATCGGATAGCTGAAAAACTGACTGAATCTTGCTGTGAAAGGGGATAGTTTAGGCCTGTTAGAAATAAATGATTAAAATTCAGACATACATTGTTAAGCAAAAATCTTACCCTTTCCCAAATGTGGGTTCTCCTAGCAGCACTGCACGTTTGTTGTCTTTCAATGCACCAGCTAAAATTTCGCTTGCACTTGCAGTTCCTTTGTTCACCTACAAACGCATAAGATGTCAAGTTGCCAATTATTTTGTATAGGATCGAAAAATGAGCCTTCCAAGGTTTAAGGTGAGAGGAGAGAGAGAGGAGAGATGATTGCTGATTTTTTTCTTTGAGAAGGGGACTGAGAAGCACCATCAGATATCCCAAGTCAGCTATTGAACATGAGAAAAAGTTCAAGATAGCCAGCCATGGTGGAACCAAATAAATATCCACAATGGAAAATGTTCCAGTATTACAGATTTGGAAATGGAAAAAGGAAGTTTAGTCATTTTTCCAAACAAACAGTATAACAACCCAAGAAAAAAGGATCATGGTCACTCAGCATGTAGACAGCAGAGCAGTGAAAAAAAGGCCATGGAACACAAGTACTGGATAAAGCATAAACCTCTTTCACCAAAACCTCAATTATAGGAGCTAAATGTAAAGTCTAATGAAATAATCACAGCTTTATATCATACATCTTTACAAAAGTTGGTGAAAGCTTTGAGGATATTGAGTCCAAACCATATCAGTTTAGAAGTAAGTTACCATACCAGCACAGCTAGGGGTTCTGAAGCTGCTATTGCATTGCTTCCATCTGTGTCATATATATCACGAACACCATGACTGTCACAAATGTACACAATAACACCCTTGTCCAACCTACAACAAATTGGGGTACATCTGACATTAAAATCAAACAAAGGGAAGAAATTGCAGTTAAAGAGAATACTCACTAAAGCTGAAAGGACTGGTGCTACTAAGATACAAAAAATGCACGTGAACAAGTAGGATTAGTTAGCTGCAAACGCATTGAGTAGAACAGAACTGGTCTATTTCAGACCAATAACTGATATACAGCAAAAATGAACAGTAAATAACTTCATACTATCTACACATAAACGAGCAGCCAAAATAATCCACAACACCAGCAAAATGATACCAAATTGACTGGCAAGGAAACTAATTTCATGACAAATAAAACAAATCTGCCTAAAAATCTTACCAAATCTTGGCAATAGCAAATTAACTGGCAGAAGAAAAGGAAACTCATTTCATGATGCGTAAAACAAATCCACCTATAAAGCTTACCAAATCTTGGCAATCTCAATTCCTTCAGGGAAAAGACCACCACTGCACTAAATTTAGTTTTTTCAGAAATCTGCTCAAGTAGAGGTTCAAAATGAAGCATGTTTAAGCATATCACCTAATGTTTAAGCATATCACCTATTATCTCGAAGGTCTAACACAAAGGCATCAACGTTGTTTCTCCTTAAAGTTTCAATTGCCTCTTTTACAGCACCTACAAAGAGCATGCGTACTTAGACCACTTAAATACAAATTTCGCATTTAAGAACAAATGCTGTAACATACTAAACCATTAGAGTGAGAAAAAAAAAAAAGTTTAACACAGTAAATGGTAATTGGTAGATTATGCATCCATCAAATCCACAGTGGGTCAATTCGCAACAGGACCCAGGATATAAAATTCTTAAAATGTAGGTTTACTGCTTTTGTCAAAATAGAATTCATAACCACCATGAAGCATTAAGCAAGGTTGATGGAAAAAAATCTTTAAAATCAGAACATTCAAGGATAGAAAAAGAAAATAATAATTCTATGTCTAAATCTGCAGTAAGGTTAATAAGTGCAAAAAAACAATCTCGACATACAAGGGATAGATCATGTATAATATGACCGATTATGGATTTACAAAATGGATTGAATGTAGTTGAGAAGGATATAAAATAGGATTAAGTTAGGTAGCAAATGAGTAGCTATAATTAAACAGAACATACGCCCTAGATAAAGAGGAATGACCCACAAAAGAATAAAACAGAAAAATATAAAAGACATGGATGAATTCTGCATAGTGGTTGAAAACCAAGATTTAACGATATAATTTTGTGTGTAAATTCAACAAAGAAAACACCGATGAAAAGTGTGTAAATCCTGAAAACTGACTCATAATAAGTAGCTTCACAATACCAGAGGCATTTTGGTTGAATGAAGTAAGTTTGATGTATCCTATTCTGGGGGCATCTTTCCCCAAACCAGGTGTCTCGCAGATTCTTGACTTTACTGGATTCAATGAAACTTTCTCTCTTCTGCAAAACAGCAGTTGGTTAGTTCGTGAGTTCTAGCAAAACAGCATATCCATATACACATGTCACACATTTAATATCTTAATAGCTTACAACAGAAGTGCAAAAATATGCTTCAGAACACATCACCAACATTTGTTTCTCTCTTTCCTTTATAATATTCTCTCTATGGAGTAAACAACCAGAAATTGTCCTAAACAAAGGAAAGATACAGAATCTAAAATGGACGAGAAAACCCTATGAAAAGAGAAATGACATAAAACAATTTTTATGACTGAAAAGACATAAAATCCTTGCCAGCCTCTACCCCATCCCCAAAGAAAAAAACTTACAAGCAACATTTTCACTGACATACGATGTAGAGGCTGTAAATAGAGCTTGTATTCCACTTGAATGATTAGGACCACCCAATGTTGGTTTATATGCTTAACGGGCCTCAAAACTAATTGGCAATTGGTTATCAGTTAGAAGCTCCAACGGATGCAGCATAGCTTTAATGCTTAATTTTTTTAAGCATACACAAAACAGACCCTGTGACAGAGGACAAGAAGAAGAATCATTGTGCTTAAGGAATTGAGAATGAATGAGGCGAAGAGGGCCGAATTCACAAAGACTAGAAATCAAGAAGAAAAAGAACAAAAGAAACAGTATAACAATCCCCAATACAATATTTTATTCAGTTCAATACTCAAGTCATGTACCAAAACCATCACATATAAGGCCTATTTATAGGCAACACTGAAAACACTAATTAACAGTTACCAAAACAGAAACACAGAAAATAATATTTAGTTCCTAAACTGATAAATATACCAGTAAACCCTAAATAACAGAATATATTTTATGCTTTACCTAATTTCTATTTGATCCGCACCACCTTGACTTGGGGTCATTTTAGCTAATGCATATTCAACTTCTGCAGGATGTGAAGCTTGCAGCTAATTCAAGAAAGAGAATGAGAAGTACTTACGTCAAAGATAGGTGCCTTATCAAGGGTCCACTACGAACTGTGAGTTCCACTGCACTTCCTTCGGGTCCCCTGCATTTCATAATTTCTTTTCTGGTTAAAACATGTATTCTTACATGTAGGATTGAACTGCATGGCTCAAGATCAAGACAGATTCTCTTGGTCCATTCTATCTCACTATTTTTGGTCTGATTGGTTCATTCTATCTGAAAACATAGAACTGTAAGATAATTACACTAAAGGATAACCATGAACTTACCTATGATATAGCATTTAGAAGTGTTTAGTTTAGCTTTTCAAAAGAAGATGTATATATCATGAATAATATGCATTGTTGTCAGCCTTTGAGCTTTTCAACATTCAAATTGGTTAAGAATGTACAATCTCTAAAGCAGTAAACAATAATTTACTTTAAACAAAAATGTTTCTTTGGTGGGTGCTTTTGTGTGTGTGTGTGTGTGTGAGTGAGTGAGTGAGAGGGAATTCAGCTTGCATTATAATAATAGCAAATGTGAATGTTTCCCATTCAAAATTTTGGAAAACTCACAATAAAAACTGTTAAACAACCATCTACTCCAAAAGTTTATGTCGTTGAAGATGGTGTAACTTAAATATTTATATTTTAACACGCCCCGACACGTGCAGGCTAGATTTTGGGCCAAGCACGTGAATTTTTTTTTAATAATTAGGATGACGGAGAGATTCGAATATAAGAACTCCTAATATTATATTAAACAACCACCTACTTCAAAAGTTTAAGCTGTTGGAGATGGTGCAACTTAAATATTTGCACTTCAACAGAAACCATTGCATGTGAAGAGAAGACCATAGTTAATAGAAGAGAAAGTTGTTGCCAATAAGACCACAAAGATCGGGCATTCTATGATCCACCGGCTTTTAAACAATAATATCAAGAATACCTAAAAATACTGCAGATCTCCAATAAAAGAAGTGGATAAGGGAAAAAATGGAAACCCAAATGCCAAGTTGCTAAAGATCTATGATTCAAATGCTATCCTCTACCCTTTTTTATCCTTGCCGGAGTCTTATTTCCTACAAAAGAGTAGCAAAGTTGCTGAATGAATAATCCCTTTGATGTCCAACTAAGGTACCAATTAGAATACAGGGGTTCCAGTGGGACTTGAGACTACATTGAAAATAATTGCCACAGTTAAGATATTTCTCGCAACTAACTCAACCATGACAGACTACACCACCCAAGGCCCAATTCTAATACCATTTTAGAGCATCCAACCCAAAACCAATTGTTAATGGGTGGAGTGACCCTTCAAATATATAAACCAACATTGGGTGTACTTAATCTTTCAACGTGGCAAATGAGGCAAACAAAGCAAATATTTCCTTTCCTGTGTGCTGCTTTTCTAGTGATTTAAGAACAGGTCTTCTAATAAATTGCAACTTCATTAATGCATGCCACTCTATTGGAAAGCAGCATTGCATATCATTTAGCGAGCATATTTTGCCTTTTTGTATTTTGTGTGTGTGTGTGTATTTGTGTTTTTTGGGGTTGGGGTTGGGGTTGGGGTG